TCTCTTTCTCTTTCTCTTTCTCTTTCTCTTTCTCTTTCTCTTTCTCTTTCTCTTTCTCTTTCTCTTTCTCTTTCTCTTTCTCTTTCTCTTTCTCTTCTTTCTCTTTTTTCTCTTTCTTTTTCTTTCTCATTCTCTTTCTCTTTTTCTTTTTCTCTTTCTCTTTCTCTTTCTTTCTCTCTCTCTCTGTCTCTGTCTCTCTCTGTCTCTCTGTCTCTCTCTCTTTTTTGAGATAGGGTCTTGTTATGCAGTTTAGGCTGACCTTAAACTCACTATGTAGTTCAGGCTGGTCTTGAACTCATGGCGATCCTCCTGCCTCAGCTCCAGAGTACTGGGATTACAGGAATGAGTTACCACACTCGGCTGAATTTTTCATTCTTATTAAAAAGTTCAAGTGGGATTTTTGGTCATCTTGATCATAGAGAACAGTTTCTTAGTAGTACAAAAGTAGTTGATCATTCAAAGAAGGGGGTTGTTTGACCCTTTATTGCTGCAGCTCATCCCTGGGAGAAATATTGTCCCCTGTGAACTTTGAGGCAGGCGTGGTTGGTGTCTGTTGTCCAGCTTGATGAATGATAGGTGCATTTCATGATCTCAGGGAGAAGATGTAGAAGAGCCATCTTTCTAGTTTTTCCTGGCTGGCTCCTCCCAGTCCCCTGGTCCTTGAGTGAATGGTGCATCCTCCAAAAGGTCATCTGGGCTGCTTTGTCCTGCAGAGGAGTTCCCTGACTTATTTTCTATCCTTGAACTGTCATCACAGGGTGCTGACAGACTTTTATTTACTTATTTATTGTCTGTCTTCTGCTGGATTTTCTCTTGAGTTCCATGAGGACCCAATCTGTTTTATTTACTTGTGTATCTGGCCCAGACTAGTGACAGAGGTGAAGGGAACAGATTGGGACCAAACAGGCTGGGGAGGACGCATAGGCCTCTGAACCTGCCGCAGTGGACGTGGCCCTGGCGATGGTGGCCAGCTCCCTAAAGACTGCACTATGGCCTCAGAGCCCCAGGGCCGCCTAGGCTCCAAGAGGGCCCCTGGGAAAGGTGAACCATTTGGACTATTACTGTTTGTCTGTGTACAGTTACGATTTCTAACAAGCCTCTTTTTTGGTGCTTCATGACACAGTGCTCTCAAATGGACCCAGGTGTCTGGATGGAGACCTGGCTGGGGGGAGGAGGACACTCCTGGCAAGAGGCGCATGGGACAGCTCTGTTGTGAGTGTCTCTGTGGACCCCAGTGCTGACGCTCAGCTGGGACACACGGAAAGGGCCGTGTGTGTTGTGTTGGTGTGCTCATTCTACTTCCTGAACAGCCTCTGCCCCAGCACCTGAGTGACAGGTGTGCTCTCCCCAGGGTCTTTCACCCGTGTCCTCCTGACTCACCAGTTGAGCGCTGCAGTGGCTCCAGTATGGGCTCTGCTGTCTCAGGATTACTTACTGCCACGGTTACCTGAGTCAGCCTTTTCCCTGTCTCACCGCTATAATTCTACCTCATGGAGTTGCTGACTGTTACCCGCGCTATTGCCAGGGCCTTCTCATTTCTGAGCTGTCTCTTCCACACAAATCCTCCTTTCATACCTGCTAAACAGAATCTTGGCTAATTAAAGATGTTCAGGGTTTGGGGTAGGGGTGCAGTGTATAGTAGAGTGTTCCCCTAGCACACTAGAGGCCCTGAGTTCCACCGTGAGCTGCAAATGAACAAAAACAGAAAAAACCTGAATTTTATTTTACTTGTTTATTTATTTATTTTGTGCTACTGAGGATGGAGCCCAAGGCTGTCACCCTGAGCTACATCCCCTGTCCTTTTTTATTTTTTATTTTGAGACAGGGTCTCACTGAGTCATTGAGTTGCCTACCCCGGGTCTGAACTTGCAGTGCTGCCCTGGTCTCCAGAATGCTGAGATTACCAGTGGCACCACCGTGCCCAGCATTTTGCTTTTATTTTACTATATTCATGAGTGTCTACTTAGTGCAAACTACTGTGGGTAAGGCGAAGATGTAGAGACAGACACTGCCCCTCTAGCCAGTCTAATCTAAGTGAATCCCAGCTTCACTTACAATAAATGAAGGTGATCATGGGAGCTGATATCATTGAGTACTTGGTGTACGCCTAGGACTCGGGGCCTCCCTTGCTCCCCACAGTGACACCAAAGCCTATGGGGCTCATGTGGGAGAGAACCGAGGGTGTGTGCCCCCCTTCAGACCAGTGTTGTCAGAACCCCCTCATGCAAGTGACTGACAGAGTTACGAGCCCTTGTCTCATGTCACCCTGTAGGAGCCGACGTGGGACAGCACCATGGAAAGGAGACCCGCGGAAAGCAGGCAAGGCCTCACCCACAGAGAAGTGCCCCGTGCGCTTGGGCTGCTGCTCACCATGGCCCTCATGAATGCTCTTCTTTACCTCTGCCTCGACCAGTTTGTCAGTTCCCCTCGACGCGCCAGTGAGGGCCCTAGGCCCTGTCCCTACGGTTACTTCAGAATGGGACAGATGAGAAACTGCTCGCCCTGGCTGTCCTGCCAGGAGCTGAGAGCAGAAGTGAGGCAGTTAAAGTGCGTTGGGGAAGGAGCTGTGAAGAGAGTGAGTGTGGGGCTCGGGTCTGTGCTGCCATCGCGGGGGGCCCTTGGGAGAGCAAGTTTGCGTAGTGCATTAAGAGCTATAAAGGCCAAGCTGGGAGCAGAGGCTGAGTGATCAAGGAGGATCACTTGAGCCCAGGGGTTCCACGCCAGCCTGGGCGGTATAGTGAGACTCCCACCTCAAGAAAAAAGCCATAAAGATCTTCCTGGCCTCAAACCTCACATCTGGGGCTATAGCTTAATAAGATAGCCCAAAAGAAGGAGAAAGCTAAATTCATGAAAAACTACAGAGGACAAGAAGTCGGAGGGAATAGTTGAAGTGTGATCCAGCCTCTCAGTGGGATAGTCTGTAGTTAGGAGCCCCATGAAACAACAGGAAGAAAACCTTACAATGATAAGTGAAGAAAGCAAGATACCCAGGTGTATTATTTTCAACTGTAAGACTTCATATTTTGTATAAGAATGCAAAATGATAGAAATTGTAAAGGGGGATTATAAACAATGCTTTCCTTTTCAAAATATGGGTTATAATGATTTTATTATTCTGATTTTTTATTTAATATCGCTTCTCGGCCTTTTGGCTAGGATCAAGTGTATTATGATTTTTTATTTGAAAAAAGACACCACAGGGTGAATTCAGTTCTCAGAAGCTCCAGGAACTTTGTGTCGTTGCAGCCAATGTATGTTCTGCTACGTGTGGCTGTCATTTAGGGAAGCGGGGCCTCCTGGCCCAGTCAGTGTCCCTAGAAGCTTAACTGTTAAACAAAGGCAGCTTCTTTGTGGGGCTGATAGAGTAAAAGGCAGTGAGAGAATGAGAAATAGGCCCATAGAGTTGCAGCTTGATAAACTGCTGGCTTTTGTTGTAGATGATACAGGTCTCGTTTTCTTAAATGTGGACTGGAGAGATCTCCGCGCTTGGTTTAGAAGGACCTCATCTGACCTGTTTTTAAGCTGAGTGTGGTGGTGCGTGCCTGTAATTACAGCGCTCTGGGAGGCTGTGGCTGGAGAATCACCACTTCGAGCTGAGCCTGGGCAATACAGGCCAAAATAAGAAGGGCTGGGAATATCGCTTGGCGCAGAGGCCCTGGGTTCAGTCGTAATACCGTAAAAAGAAGAAAAACCCCTGGTTCTGATGGTTAGTGCCTGGAACCACTGTCTTTTTAACTGAATGGAAGGAAGCGCAGAGTCCACTCCTCAGCCTCCTTTCCTGCAAAGGCACCTAATTCTTTCCGGCCGCGGACCCTCTGTGCTTCTCCTGGGGACCTCAGCCAGCCCGCAGCGTTGTTGGCAGCAGAGGCCTGTCCCTGAGTTGTCTGGGATTTTTTCTTTTCTTTTTTTTTTTTTTTTTCGGTACCAGGAATTGAACTCACGACCTTGCACTTGCCAGTCAGGCGCTGTGCCACTGAGCTAAATCCCCAGCCCCTTGGGATTTTTTCTTAAAGGCCCCTTGAAGGCGAAGGAGGGTTTCCTCTGAAGCCTGCTCCTCTCTTCATCCCCCTCTTAGCAGCAGCGCCACCAGGCCAGTTGCTCAGGTCAGCGACCTTGGAGGCACCCTGACTTTCTCTGGTCCTCCCGTATTCACGCAACCTGTCCGCAAGTTTAGTTCCAGTACACTCAGAATCGGTCTGGAATTTCCAGACTTCCCCATCGCCCCTCCCCCAGCTTCCTATCCCACCTCACCTCCGGGATGAGCAGGGTGAGCAGTGTGCTAACCGGCTAACCTGCAGCTACAGCGGTATTAAGTTAGAAGTCAAACGGTATCCTTCCTTGTTCACAATCTCCAGGAGCGCCAGAGTCCGCTGGACAGCAAGGCCCTCCAAGACCTGCCCCTCTGGCGGCTCCTTTCCCACCGGCATGGCCGACCTGGCAGCCTGTGCGTGGCTTCCTCCTGGGCCCCGGACTTGCTGATTTCTGCCCCGCACAGCAAATGGCTCATTTCCTGAGCTCCTTCAGGTTCTTGCTCCAACACTGCCCCAGCTACTAAACTGCAAACCCTGTTGTATGTTAAGGCACATTTCAACTTTCAGCATACATTCTCTGTTTATTTTACTTACTGTCTGCCTCCTGCAGCAAAATGTAAATTTCGTCATGGCAGGGATTTTTGTTATTGTCCTTACCCCACTTCTGCCTTCTTTCCCTTCCCACTCTACCTCCTTCTCCTTTTTCCCTTTTCCTTCTTTCCCCTCTCTCCTTTCCTCCTTTCCTTCCCTTTCCTTCTTTTCTTCCCTCCCTTCTATTCTCTTCCCCTCTCTTTTTTTTTTCCTCCCAGGGCCTTGCTCCCATCGCTGAGCTGAACCATACAGCCTAGCTTTTTTGTTTGACATAAACACTTATTAAGTGAATAAACTACATACAGTTTATTAACTTAATTGAACTACATACAGTTAAATACTTTATAAAAGGCTATGTAAACTAAATTTTTTTGTTTTGTCTTTTACTTTTATAATAAAGGATTCCATGGATGATATAAAGAGCTATTAGTAATTAGAAGCACAAAGCAAACAATTCTATAGACTACTGGAAAAAGGACGGTGACTAGCCTTTGAACCGTTGAAATACAGAAATGCTGATACAGTCTCATTAGTGACCAGAGAAATATAAATTGTAACAGTAAAGCGTTTTTCATCCATCGAATTGGCATGAATTACAAAGATTGGTAGCAATGTGTATAAATAAGAATGTTGGACATAGGATTCTCTCACAGGCTATTGGTAAAAGTCGGTGTTTTAACACACTTTCCCAGGGTAATCACAATGGTATAGTAATCTATTTTCCTAACTTATAAAGCACATGAAGATGTGCAGATGTCTAGACATGTAAATATAAAGCTATTTTTTTGTTTGTTTTTGAGACAGGGTCTCGCTGTGCAGTTCAGGCTGTCCTTGAACCCACTATGGAACCCTGGCTTGAACTCACAGGGATCCTCCTGCCTCAGCCTCCTGAGTGCTAGGGTTATAGCCATGAACTACCATGCTTGGCTAAGACTCTTTGTAGCATTGTTGTAAAAAGAAAATGGAAATGTCCGTCAAATCTTTGAAAATGGGTTACATAAAATCTTAATAAAGGGCTCTACAAAATTATAGTACAAATTAGAGAAAAAATTCAATACTTTTTTTTTTTTTTTTTTCTGGTACTGGGAATCAAACTCACAACCTTGTGCTTGCCAGGCAGGTGCTGTGCTGCTGAGCTAAATCCCCAGCCCCTCAATACATTTAGATAGCATCCATTCCAAGTTTTATGAGTGTTATTAAATTATATGTACTTTTTTTAAAAAAGGTGATCATCTGTACAACCCTACGCAGCTTTAAAAAGAATGATCTGAAGCCAGGAGTGGTTGTGCAAGCCTATAATCCCAGAACTTTGGAGGCTAGGGTGGGAGGCTTATAAGTTGGAGGCCAACCCAGGCTGTGTAGCAACTTAGTGAGACCCTGTCTCAAAAATTTAAAAATGTATAAAAAAGACCTAGGGATGTAGTTCAGCGTAAAGACTCGAGTTCAGTCTCCCAGTGTCACCAAAAGAAGGAAGGTAGGAAGGGAAGAGAAGAAGGGAAGGAAGGGGGGAAGCTGTATGTTCACATGGGTAAGATTTCTGAGGCATCAGTTAAAAGAAAAAACCAAGTTATTTATATGTGTTATAATTCCATCCATAATGTATGCAAAAGCATAGAAAAACTTCTGGGAGGATAACAATCAGTTAACAGGTTTGGATTGGGAAGTAAAATGGGAGGAAAGGACAAATACTTTCTTAGAGATAAGTTCTTATTCAGTAGTCCAGGCTGGTCTTGAACTTGTGGTCCTCCTGCCTCAGCCTCCTGAGTGCTGGACTGTAATTGTGTACCACCATGTGGTCACTCATTATCTTTCTGTAGTTGAGTTTTTAAACAAGAAAACTGTTCATGATTAATTTTATAATTAAAAAGAGGTTAAGTACATTAATTGTTTTCTCCAAAGGAATATTTTAGAAAGTGATGGAAAGACAACTAGAGATTTCTGAGAAATTATTTTTAAAGAATATGTTATTTGCAGATTTTTTTAAATTTGCAGACTTTTAACACTGGAGGTTTCAGATATCTGTGAGTGATCCCAAAGACTGATTATTTAATAATAAATAATACTTAATAATCTGTCACTTATCTGAGGCCCCAAAATGAATTCGATAGGAATGCAGGTTCAGAAGGAAATCATGAGACAGATAAGCTTGCCATTTATTATTGAGTGTAGAATAGCAGCTTCCTTAAAATGATCATTGTTTTTATGTGAAAAATGGGTGTAGAAGACCAAACCTATTTACTAATGCTAATGATGGTCATGCAGAGCCAATCTAAGGAAGTAATGAATCCTAACAAAAAAATAAGATTTTTGTATTTGATTGGAGTCAGATATCAAATTTAGGCAGAATGTGGTGGCACATGCTTGTAAGCCCAGCACTTGGGAGGCTGAGGCAGAAAAGTCAGTGTGAGTTTGAAGCCAGCCTGGGCGACAAAGTGAGTTCAAAATCAGCCTCAAGTGCAGAGTCAAACTCTATCTCAAAAAGACAAAAATAAAGTTGGGCGTGGTGGTGCACGCCTGTAATTCCAGCACTCGTGAGGCTGAGGCAGAAGGATCCAGGTGAGCTCGAGGCCGGCCTGGGCTACAAAGTGAGTTCAAGCCCAGCCTGAACTGTATAGTAAGACCCTGTCTCAAAAAGACAAAAAATAAAACAAAACAAAACACCCCAATGATGATGCAAATCTATAGGAAAAGCATGTTCAATATAAAATACTAAAAATTCAAATTTTTAGAGAATATAGTAACTAGAGCAAAAATGGCTTTTTTGTAGAAATTATGATCCATAGTGAAATTTCTCAGATTGAAGGATTTGAGATCCTGAAAGATTTTTCTTTTGAGTGTGAAAGTAAAAGGTCTGCTGTAGTTATCTGGATTTTTCTGTAATGAACCTTCCTCTCGAGAAGAAATAGAGTCCTCTTAATGCACCTCCATTTTATACAAACTTTCGTTGCTCTGTTTGAGTGCTGGGACTGAAACCCAGGGTCTCATGCATGCTAGGTAAGTACTCTACCACTGAGCTATCCTTAGACTTCATGTAGTAATTTTGAGTTTTTAAAAAATAATTGAAATTATAAAAATAATATATTTATTTTTATTTCTATTTTTTTTTTTTGTCTTTTTGAGACAGGGTTGCACTCTGCAGTTCAGGCTGGCCTTGATCATGTAGCAGTTCCTCCTGCCTCAGCCTCCTAAGTGCTGGGACTACAGGCATGTGCCACCACACCCAGATTGTTTATTTTGAAAGAGTTGCAAAATACCAAAAAGTATAAAGGACAAAAATAACCAGATTCTCAACAGTGAAAGGCAACTAAAATATTAACATATTTCCCTTTCATCTGTATGTAATTTAATTGTATCTTGTTTCATGCAGTTAGAAGAATATTACATAAATTCTTGTTCATTTGTAATGCAACAGCAAGCAGAAATGCTGAAATGACACTCAGGATTTGGTGGCAGATTTATTTTATGTGGACAGACCCTGATTGGGATCATTCCCAAAATATCAGGCCCTGATCTCTGGTGGTCTAGGGCTTATATGGAATAAGCAAGCAGGAAGTACAGAGGCACAATGGCTTGTCAATTGGGGATTGGTTTATACAGTATGCATCATAGTGATCAGCTGTGCATCACAGTGACCAGGGACAAAAGTAACAGGAACTGTAACCAGAACTGTTACTGGGCAACTAACAAATGGAAGTATACTGGTGGGGTGGGGGGGCATTTTCTGCTACAATAATATTACTTTGTATGTGCTGTAACTCCATAAATATGTGCATTATAGTGACCAAATAACACCATTGGTAATCCCGCCAAAATTTTATTTCCTGTCTTCCTAGGTTCTAGTTTGTGCTTTAGTAAATACTTCCAGGTTTACATCTTTTACAGGCTGTTGCTTTAAATGTTAAATTCTTTTGATTAATGCCAAAAAATTGGTTTCCAAAATGGCTTAGGAAGTAGGGATGTGACTTGGTGGAGGGCACTGCCCACCGTGCCTGAGGCCCTGGTTGACAGAAGGGTGGGGCAGGGTGGAGAGAAGGGACGGAGGGAAGGAGGGAGGAAGGAGAACAACAAAGACACAGCACAGCCAGGGATTTCTGACTTTAGAACCTGTCTTTAAGCAAAGGATCCAAGCTCTTTCCTTAGTTACAGTGCTCCCTGCAAACTTGTTTTAGCTAATAAAAAAAGTAGAAATTCAGCTGAGTGTGATGACACACCCTTGTAATCCCAGAAAGCAGGGAGGTTGAGGCAGGAAGATGGCAAATTCAAGCCCAGCCTGGGCAATTTAACAATGTAGTGATATCCTATCTCAAAATGAAAAATGGGCTGGGGATGTAGCTCAGTGTGAAGACTCTGGGTTCAGTCCCAAGTACTGTGCGAATAAAAAAAAATTTAAAAAAAGAGAGACAGAAATTCAAGGCAGTAACATACGGTTACTCTTCTATCCACTGTGTGCCATATGGACGGTCCCTGTGTTTGTGTAGTATTCTGGGTCTTGCTTTTATAGCTGCAGTATCACAGAACTATGTAAAAATGTTTTCCTTACCCCAAAACAGTCTTGTCTGTGGTTCACTGTGCTGCCTTTGAAAGTTAGTGAGAACGAGTTAATGAGCATTGTTCTGTGTGATGCGCTAGGCCTCTCACCCCCTTTTCCTGTCTCTCTCCTGACCACGCTTTGTGCCATGTGAGTTGGAAGCCGTCTCCCCTCCTGTGCCTGCACGCCCCTGCTATCCACATCTATGCTGTAAATCCTGATCATCCCCTAAGACCTGCTGCCCTAAGCTGCCAGCTGATTATCAGCATCCACACAAGAATGAGTCCTTTCTGCCCTGTTTTACCCTGAAATTTTTGTTTTTGTTTTTTGAAACAGGATCTTGCTGTGCAGCCAGGCTGCCTTTAACTTACCCTGTAGCAAGGCCGGTTGCGAACTGCCAGTCCTAGCCTCCAAGTGCGGCCTCAGGGCTGTGCCACTGTGCCTGCCTGCACCCTGCTGAGTGGTGTGCGTATTCATGAGTCTTTATGACCAGACTTAGCGTGGCTCTGTGACTGCAAGGGCTGAGTCTGTGTCTTCTGTATCACATTTGCCACTTGGAAGATAGTTACTTTTTCTCGGTTTACTTCCAGTGAAAGTTTAGGTTTGCTGTCTTTGTTTCAGGTGTTTCTGTCAGAATGGAAAGAACGCAAAGTTGCTCTCTCACGGCTCACCAGTCTAGAGATGAAGGCCGATTTTCTCCATGGACTGCAGATGCTGAAATCTTTGCAAAGCAAACACATTGTCACATTGCTTGGCTACTGTGAGGAGGACAATACTATTCTTACTGAGTATCACCCCTTAGGTTCCTTGAGCAATCTGGAAGAAACACTCAATCTTTCCAAGTACCAAAATGTGAACACATGGCAACATAGGCTGCAGCTGGCCATGGATTATGTTGGTATCATTAACTACCTGCATCGCAGCCCCCTGGGCACGCTTGTCATGTGTGACTCTAACGACCTGCCCAAGACGCTGTCACAGTACCTGCTGACAAGTAACTTCAGCATCGTGGCAAATGACTTGGATGCCTTGCCCTTGGTGAACCACAGCGCTGGGGTGTTTGTGAAGTGTGGCCACAGGGAGCTTCATGGGGATTTTGTGGCCCCAGAGCAGTTATGGCCCTATGGAGAGCACGTGCCTTTCCATGACGACCTCATGCCCTCCTATGATGAGAAGATAGATATCTGGAAAATCCCGGATGTCTCCAGTTTCCTTTTGGGGCACGTTGAAGGGAGTGATATGGTTCGATTCCATTTATTTGATATTCATAAGGCCTGTAAGAGCCAAATTCCTGCAGAAAGACCCACCGCACGGGATATTCTGGACACTTACCAGAAGGTTTTAAATTCTCTTGGAGGTCCCGTGCCATCCCAGACCAGAGAAATGCTCTAAAAACCAGTGCAGTCCTGGAGGGCTAGGGTTGAAGGACCAAATGAAGTCCCTGCAGTCTTGCTGTGAGGGAGGCGGTTTTTGCTTGGACTTCGTGTTTTGCTGTCTCAGCCATGTGGTTTGTACTCTGCATCCACCTGCGGGTTTGAGTGCAGCGTGGAGCAGTTACAAAGCAAGAGAAGACCAGGGCGGCTTTCATCCGATTTTTTCTTTCTGAAGCCGCTTACTTCCTGGTGAAGATGCAGAGAAGCAGTAAATCTACCCAATATTTGAAGAAAGTAATAAAAATGTAACTGTAAAGAGACTTCATCTACCCAAACAGTTGAATTTCTAATATGTTTATGAGAAATGTATAGAGAAGTTGTTTTTCTTATTTTTATGAGTATGTGTACATAATTAGTACATAATTACTGCACTCACCAGGAGGAATTAGTATGTGGACATAAGACATCTCATGTCCCCTCCTCATGTCATCCTTCCCTCCCACCATCTCTTGATTCCCTTCCCTTGTTTGTAAGAAATCTATCTCCTTGCTTGCTGGTATCTTTTATTTTTGCTCTTTATTTATACTTTGGGTGTTTCATAAAAGACAAGCCATATAAACTTTAGTATCTTTTTTTCACATTATGGTGTCAAAGTGCTTCCATTTTCCTACAGGTAACTCAAGTTTATCCTCCTTTATAGCAGAGTAGTACTTCATTGTGTACAAGACCATATTTTCTTTACCCACTCATCTGTTGTGTAGGTTCCTTTCCCCACAGCCTGGCCAGCATTTATTATTTGATTTCTTTGCATTCTTTATAGAGTAAGATGGAATTTCAGTGTTGTTTTAATTTGTATTTCTTCAGTGGCCAGTGATGTTGAACATTTTTTTATATATTTATTGGCCATTTGTACTTCTTCTGAGACATGTGTTTATTTTTTGAGATGGAGTCTCACTGACTTTGTTTTGTTTTCACTTTTTTTTTGGAGGGCAACCAGGTAGTCCCTCCCCAAATCTATTTATTTTTTTATTTTAAAGAGAAAAGAAAACGAAATAGCAGCCAAGACAAAAACAAAACAACATATTTACTCATCTGTAAAAAAAGATAACCTTGAGGCTTTTGTAGGAAAATGGATGCAACTAGAGACCATACTCAAAAGTGAAATAAATCACACCTGCATGTGTAAACATCGTATTGTCTTATTCTAGTATAAGAACCTGAAAAAGTAAATAAAACCCAAAAGGTACAGTAGATACTGTGAAAGGGAAAGAAGTTGCTCAAAGGGAAGGAACAACTGGGATGAGGTAAAGGAGAAAAGAAAGAAAAAAGAAGGTCTCACTGGCTTGAACTCGCAATCCTCCTGTCTCAGCCTCCTAAATGTGGGGATTATATGCACTGATGTGCCTGGCTGAGAGATTTTTAAATGGCAGAGAAATTATATCACTGGCCTTGGATAGTGCTTTGATATTCCTGTTTAATTAGGTTTTCTGTATTCACAGTTAATTGTGAACAATTTTAATGAACAAATATCCCTTATTACTAGAAAGCGTCAAGCCCTTTCACCTAAGGTACATGATTGAATTGCTCAAACAGTTCTTTCCTGTGGCGCTGTCATCCTTGCCTGTGGGGGTGAGGGGTGGCAGTAGCACACTGGTGTCACTAATGAGATGTAAAGCTGGAGACCAGCGGCAAGGTTACTAGCAGGGGCTCCGGCCCTCCTGAGAGCCTGAACAGTCATACTCCCGGGAGTCACTGAGGCTGGGCCTCCCCAGTCTCTGGCTTAGCAGGTCTGAAGTGGATTCTGCAAATTTACTTTTCTGAGTGGTTCTAATGATACATGGGCTGCTGGTTGGTTTATGGACATCTTTTGGGAAACACTGCCCTTGACTCAAGGAGGTGCCTTAAGCAGTTGGAAAGGGCAGTATATCAGTATTGTTTACAGAACATCCTTGCTCAGGGTATCTTGTCAGTGTGAAACTCACGGAGCACTCCTTTTAATTTAGCTTTGTTACAGAAGCTCTACCATAACACACTGGGTGTGTCTTTAACACTAGAGTTAAGAACAATAACATGTGTTGGCAAGAATATGAAGGAAGTGGCACACTCAGAATGTTGTTTTTGGGAAGTCGTATATCGTGGCTATCTGAGAAAACAGTCTGGCAGCTCCTCAAAAGTTTAAAATTGAGTTGTATAATTCAGCAATTCTACTCCAAAGTATATATGCAAGAGAATAGAAAGCATATGTCCACACAAAAAAATGTATGTCAACATTGTCCATGAATGTTCATAGTACAATTATTCACAGTAGACAAAAGGCAAAAGCCAGTAATGGTGTACGCCTGTAATTCAGCACTCTAGGAGGCTGAGGCAGGAGGGTCATGAGTTTCAGCTCAGCCTGGGCAACTTGGGTGATTTAGCAAGACCCGCCTCAAGAAAGGGCTGGGAATGTGCCTCAATGTAAAGGCTCTGGGATCAACACCCAATATCACAAAAAAGAAAAAAAGCAACCAAATGTCTATCAGACCACAAGTAAGCAAACTGTGATGTAGTCATACAATGACATATTTTTCCACCTTAGGAAAGAATGAAGTTCTGACACATGCTACAACATGAATGAATCATGCTAAGTGAAAGACATCACTCAAAGACTCCATATTATATGATTCCATTTATATGAAATGTCCAGAATATAAAAACTAATAGAAATATCAGTGTCTTAATTACTCTAATTGCTGGGACAAAATAGCTGACACCCAAAAGTTACAGGAGAACAAGCTTATTTCGGCTCACAGTTTGTGGAAGTTTCAGTCTGTTTTTGGCTAGTTCCAAAGCAGAGCAGCATGGCAGAGGAAAGACAGTCTATGGCAGAGCAGGCCAGAGGCAGCAGCTTTCTTCTGCTTTGCCTTTTCCATCTAGGCTACAAGGCTTTCACCTCATGGTACTGAAACCCGATGTGGATCTCTGTCTTCAGTAAATCTGTTCAGCCACACGCAAAACTATGCTAAACTAATCAGTAGGCTGATCCAGTACCACCCACGATCCAGTCATTCCTAAAAGCACCACAGATGAGTGCATGAGGCTTTGGGGGTACACATGGATATAAGCCATAACAATTAGTGTTTTCTGGGGGTTGGGTGCAGTTGAAGAATGGAAATTGACTCCCTGGGTGCAAGGTTTTTTGAGTCATTATGAGAACATTTTGAAATTGTGTAGTGGTGATGGTTATACAAGTCTGAATATACTGAGCGTGCCTGAATTGCGTAAAAAGTGAAAAATGTATGTGAATTATATCTCAATAAAGCTGTTACTTAAAAATATCTGCCACAAGGCTGTGAACCCCTTATGACCCTTTTTCACTTGATATAGACATTCTTGTGTGCAGTTAATAATTTTTATTATTCTATTCATGTTGTATTCTTATTTCAGGGTTTTTCTCAGCATTTGGACTTTGTATTGGAACAAAACTGTCAGTTTTAATTTGTTTTTAAATACAGTGAAAAATAGCATGGTACAGGGGAAAGGACATATGCTGGGAATGTGTTATAATCTTCGCTCAGTGCTGTGTGGCCTCAAGTCAAGTCCATTCTCTAAAATGAAAAAGTTGGTGGCAGAAATTTCCAAGTTTTGGTGTACCTCTCTAAACTCTCACTACTGCTTTGTGATGTCAGTGCCAGGAACCAGACAGGGTCCTTACTTGGTGGGGTTAGTCTGCTTGTGCTTGTGAATAATTTGGTATCAATAAAACTGCAAAAAACATGAGAGAAAGTCATTTTCACTAACACCTTGGTGGGGTATTCAGTGTTCACATGACTTGCTGTCTTGCATTCGGAGGTATTATCAGAAGAAAGAGATGAGATGAGTGAGCTGTTCTCAAAGTGTTACCCAATACTCAGCATCTCTCCCTGCCCACCATGTTCCAGGGGCTTAAAAAAATTTCCACTGTAGGGGTTATAATGTACCTTCACATTTTCTCTTGTGATGCTATAAACATTCATGATTATTAATAGAAGGCTGATTCCTGCAGCTGTCCAAGAGTACAGTCTTCTACAGTGCTACCTTGGTTGATGAACTTAATTTTTTCCCTGATTTTGGTCAGAAAGGAATTGGTTGTGAACTGAATCAAATTCAGTGATTAAGTTTAATATTGATCTTAGGGAGAAATTTGATTTGGTTCGGGACCAATTAGCTTTCAACCAGAATTGCTGAAGAGAATGAACTTCATCAACCACTATATTGTGTTTCCTCCTGTATTTGAAAAACCAACACTGCTCATTTTCAATAATTACTATTCTTAGATGACTCAATTACATAAGAGTAATTTAAAATACAAAACCATATTTTTCTTTCTGTGCACACGTGTGTGTGTGTGTGTGTGTGTGTGTGTGTGTGTGTGTGGTGCTGGGGTCAAACCTAGGGCTTCACCCATACTAAACACACACTCTGCCCCTGAGCTACATCCCTGGCCTTTCTTTGTAATACTTTGTGAGGATAAACAGGATAAGGGATATCATTTAAATTCTTAGGAAAGCAGTAGTTTAGAATCTGAACTCTTAAGTCAGCAGGAGAGTACTGAATACAAGTTTAAAATTTTTACTTCTACATAGGCAGTGGTTAAGATTGTGCTACCTGGAACTAACTCTTTTGGAAAGAAGATTAGGTTCATTCAACCTGGCAACTTAGTGAGACCTTGTCTGGAAATAAAAAGGGTTAGAGATGTAACTCAGTGGTAGAATGCTCCTAGGTTTGATCCCCAGTTCTACAAGGGGGAAAAAAGCAGTGCATATTAAAACAGTAAAGCCTCTATACAATAAGCCAACAGCTAACATACCAAATGGGGAGAAGCTGATGTCTTTCTCTAAGACCTGGAGTCATACACTTCACCACCCTTGTTTAACAAATACTGGAAGTCCTAGTGAAACAGGGTGGAAGTAAACACTTGGGGAGGATGAGCTGTGAGGCCTCCACACAGGCACAGTTGGGCTTATATTTCATTTTCTGTGGTTTAGGGATTGTTTCCCTGTTATCAGGTAGTTTCTTTAGAAATGGCTCGCCAATTAAACATATTCCAGGGCCTACTTGCCTTGAACAAAGAATTGGATGAGACAAGCCAAAAACAGTGTCAAAAGTTTATTTGAAAATGAAGGGTGAAGCGTTAAGGGAAAAACTAGCTCTGCAGAGTGAACTTGGGCCAAACAAGAGAAAGGATGAAAGCAAAAATTAAAGTGCACTGTGGGCAAAGGGTGGGCTACTGTGAAGAGTCATGATAGTGGGCTCCTGTGGCATCTGTGTCTTTATTGCTGTCCATACCTCATGGGAACTTGTAAAACGTTCTACATACGGGGTCCTGGGAATGGTTTGGCATTGCCCTTGGATCTTGTAATTGACAGGTCCCACTTACTGCCCTAGCCAGCTTTGCCATGCCCTACCTCCTATAGCATTTCCCCTTGAGAGATATAAATCTTATAATTCTTTATGAACTGCTGAGGGAGTGGAGGTCTCTGTCTTCTGTAACTTCTTCAAGCTGGAAGGGGCTGTACACCCTACCTCCTAGGTATTATGTGCTCTCCAACTACCTTGGGATGCTATCTATGGCTTGCTGGCTGAGTTGAGGAAAGAAAAAATCTGTCAGGAAATAGAAAAGTTAGTAACTGTCAAACTGCCTGTTTGATGGAAGAAAGAAATTTTACTATCAGCCCAAATGTGAGGAGCAGATCAGATTTCCACACTTC